ACTTGTATTTAACAATGTGTAATTCATCAGGAAATATGAGAGCACTGGATGGTCTCCAAGGTCCAATGTATGTAGGAACAGGTTGCATGTTTAGGAGGTATGCACTGTATGGATTTGAACCACCGAGATTCATTGAGCACACTGGTGTGTTTGGAAGAGTGAAAACCAAGGTGAACTTTAAAGCACCACATGCAAAAGCTGACGATGACACGCAACCCCTAACATCTGATTCAGAAATGGGTTATCCAGAAAAATTTGGAAGCTCAACAATGTTCACAGATTCCATAACTGTGGCTGAATACAACGGAAGGCCACTTGCTGATCACAAATCTGTGAAGAATGGAAGACCACCTGGGGCACTTCTCACACCACGTCCACCTTTGGATGCCCCCACCGTTGCTGAGGCTATTGCTGTCATCTCATGCTGGTAATTTCCTTCGCTATTACCTTTCTACTTACAAGTCTCATACAGCAATTTTCTCATAAAACAATCCATCCCAAACATGTTTGTGTATAAGTCAAATAACTTATTATCTTTTTCCTTTCATGATATCATGCACAATGCAGGTATGAGGACAAGACCGAATGGGGGGACAGGGTAGGTTGGATTTACGGGTCAGTAACTGAGGATGTGGTGACTGGTTACAGGATGCACAACCGTGGTTGGAGATCAATTTATTGCATTACAAAGAGAGATGCTTTTCGTGGCACTGCACCAATAAACTTAACTGACCGTCTGCATCAAGTGCTGAGATGGGCCACAGGTTCTGTGGAGATTTTCTTCTCAAGAAACAATGCCTTTTTCGCTAGCAGACGCCTCAAGTTCTTGCAGAGAATTTCGTACCTCAATGTTGGCATCTACCCATTCACCTCATTGTTTCTGGTGGTGTATTGCTTCATTCCTGCACTCTCCCTTTTCTCTGGACAGTTCATAGTGGAAGGCTTGAATGTGGCTTTCTTAACGTATCTGTTGCTCATCACCATTTGCCTCACTCTCATATCACTCCTTGAAGTGAAGTGGTCAGGAATTGCCCTTGAGGAATGGTGGCGCAACGAGCAGTTTTGGGTCATTGGTGGCACCAGTGCTCACCTTGTTGCTGTCATACAAGGTTTGCTAAAGGTTGTGGCTGGCATAGAGATTTCCTTTACCTTAACGTCTAAGTCAGCAGGTGATGAAGAAGACGATGAATATGCCGATCTTTACATTGTCAAATGGACAAGCCTCTTCATCATGCCACTAACAATTATCATCATTAACATCATTGCTTTGGTGATGGGGTTCTTAAGGACTGTGTTCAGTGTGATTCCACAGTGGAATAAGCTCTTGGGAAGCATGTTCTTCAGCTTCTGGGTGCTGTCTCATATGTACCCTTTTGCTAAAGGGTTGATGGGAAAGAGAGGAAGGGTGCCCACAATTATTTATGTCTGGGCAGGAATTCTCTCCATTACCATTGCACTGCTTTGGATCACAGTTGACCCTCCAAGTGACACTGTTCAGACATAGAGATGATACCTATGAAGATGCATTTGGAAACCAGCATAAAGGTCTATCACAAACACTTTTGAAGGAACATCATGACAAAAATAAAGGATTGTGGAGCCTTTATCTTCAATTCTAGCTGATAAAAATGCAAAGGGAACATTGCTGACTCCTCCTATGAAAGTGATGAGAAATGTACAATATCCAAGTTCTTCTGAAATTGCTCATGGTCTGTACAGATAATTTTATGTTTATTTATAAATCTGTAAATTTTCATTATGAGAAAGTATATACAGAAATAAAGAATAGATGGCACCTTTCACTTCTACTTGTATAGGTAGAAGTGCACAAGGAGACATTACTATGTAGGTGGAAAATGTATAATAGAAAATGAAGTTCTTTTGCAGTTGCTTATGTCCTGTTCAAATATTTAAAATCTTATTTATATACACCAGTACTTTTTCAAGACTACACAGCAATATGTACCCATATGGAAGCAAAGTGTAAGACTCATCAATCTTAAAATAAGCAAGCAAAGTGGGCTAATTGATATTTGAACCAAAAGATCTATATAACTTAGTTTTACTTTCAACTCTGAAACTTACTGAATGTATATAGATACTAATAAATCAGAGTATTGGAAGAGTAAAAACTATAATTGATGTTAACTTTTTTACTCTGAAACATTAAAATAGAAAACTCACTTAAATAATCATAAATTTTGAAATTTTCTTTATATAAAAAAAAATCAGCATTGGGGCCCAAACAGACTAAGATAATATATTATGAACACAGTTGTGCAGAGAAATGATCATTTCAAAATAATATGTCCAAATATAAGGGAAGCAAACCCTCTGAAACCCTCAACTCAACAAGAAAAGGACCTGTTAGTTACAAACAAAGAAATACACGTGTCTTAATTATTTTAACTTTTTCATGTCCCTTTCCTATCACCTATTTTAAATTATTTATACTCTCTATAATGTTTCATTAGGGTTACAACTGGATCAAGATTATCAAAAGAGGTACTCTAATTTTTTCTTCCCCATTGTTAGCTGTGCCCGCAGAAGATTCCATCAATTACTGAATGTAAAGGTGCTAGTTAAGAAGAAGAAAGTATTTAATGAGTAGTTGGTAGTATAATTTTTTGTATTTTTTTCAAAAGAAAGAATAAAAAATAAGTAAAATAATATAAAAAATTTATGTAGTATATTTCTTTTTTAAAGTGTTCTCACAATCACTTTTAGAAGAGAAATGAAAAAGAAAAAAACAAGTAAATGTCTTTATAGTTAAATTTAATCTATACACAGAAAATTAGAAATAGTATATGAAATTTTTATTAATTAATTAATTTAATTTATGAAGAAAATATTTCAATTTTCTCCTAAAATACTTTGGAGAATTTTGCATTTATTTATACTAAAAACATGGCATATTTTTCTTCTGAATAAACACTAACCGAGTTTTCTTCTAATTAATAATAGCCGATTATATATTATATATATTAATATATATAGGAGATATATGAGATATTATAGATATATATATATATATATATATGATAATATCTATATATTATATATCTTAAGGTCATCATAATAACTATTTTACTTTTTGATATTTTAAATATGCAAAATTGTTTCCATAAGCATTTGTCAGGGTTGTCCTGGCGCCGGCAGGACCTCATAAGTAAAGGGTGGTGTTTTATTAATTTATAAATTCGATCTTTCCAATATATTCAATACAAATTAATTATAATAAATTAGATAAGGAAGGTTTTGATTTTTGGTTTTCTTCTTGTCTTTTCTCATTACTTGAGAACACAATTGCATAAGAAGAAGCCTCTGCAATTTTCATCTTTGGGTCCAAAAAGTTCACAAAAACAAAAAGGTATGCCTTCTATATTTATATTTATGTCTATTACATATTCTCTCTCTATATATATATATTAAGAGAGTTACATGAATTACATTAATTTGAAGCATGGGACGTTGGTTTGATCTCTTAATTACTTTTTAATTTAAAAGAATCATTTTTGTTTAGGACCTGGACAACCTGAGGGCCAAACAACAATAACAAATTTTAAATGTGTTGTTTTACTAATATTGCCATAATCCTAATTATTAGTAAATAAAAATAAGAATTTCCATTGTTGGGAATGGGTGAGAAACAGAGGAAGAAAGAGTTTATTTTGAAACAGTTGAATTTATTCTAATTTAATTTCTATATGCTAATAATATAGGGCAGAACAAAGTTAGCATGTAAAATGCATGAAGAATATATACAATTGATAAAGTTAAGAGCATATTTGGTGAGAGGAAATTTTGAAGCTCTGTTTTGAGGTGGAAGAACGCATTGAATGAGTTTTAAATACATGGTTTGTTTTGGGAGAGAGATAATTAGAGTTGGGTAAAAATAGAGATTGTTGAAATATCTTACTTGAATAACTTGTAAATTGGATTTGAGTCGGAAGAAGTAAGAAAAAAGAAAAGAGTGTTTTTATTGACCATACTTAATAGAAATAGGTCATTTCTATTTAATCTAAATAGATTTACACTTTCCTATTAGATTTGTATTGTATTGTTAACATAATTTCAAATATATGTGTATATGATCTTTAATGTTTTAAAATATGATAAAAAGTTTTTTAACAATTACAAATTAATATATTTTGAAGCTATATAATAGAAAGAAATATTTAAAAAATCAGATAGATGGATTAGGTTTGAATTTATCCTAAAATTGTATTAACAAATGTGTTTTTAAAAGTGATAAGGGTAATTTTAAAGTTAAAATGAATATTATTTACACATAAAATTTATGTATGAAATTATTGCAACTAAAATTTAAAACTAATTTCATTTTAATATGACTTAAATTGTAAATAAATAAAGTATTTTTCAATTTTCAGATTTAGAATTTATTTGATAAAATCAGCATCAAAGATATATATTCACTTAGTTCTAAGATAAGACTGGTAAATTATTTAGTCTAATTTAAAAATTAATTCATCAAAAATAACTGTTTCTTCCATATAGGATAATTGGTAACATAATAAGATTTACCTCTTTTTCTTTCTTTTTTGTAAGTTAAAATAGAAGACTCATAAATAAAAAATAACAATTGCGCAAACATTAACTAGGTACTGATTGTTGAATGATTTAAAATAACCTTAATAATAAGATAAAAATCCTTAAACTTATAAAATATAGATAAGAGAAATACAAAATAAAAACAATTACGAGAAGAGAATAGCAATATGGCTAATAATAGATATCCTTTTAAAGAAGACCAAAGTCTTCATCAGAATTTAAATGCTTTAGTAATGAGAATGAATTATGTCTCTCCAGTAATGAAAAGTACACACATTTGTAGTTGAGGTTTATTATGGTCACAAACTCTCCTGCAAAATTAGTGAAAAATTCTCACTAAAATCAACAATCCCTATCTTGTGCACTAAAATCTTTTGTCACTAATTTTAGCATTTACCAAACAAACACAAAATTTCTCTCATACGAAATCCCCAAATAAGTCCACCCCAATCATCAAAGGCCCTCTTAACCTAAACAACCCTTCACCAAATAAAATGTATCATATCATGTAAGGATCTATATATCATAGTATTTCATCTTTAATATTCTAGTTTTTTTTTTTCAATGATGAAACTTCCACAATTGTACATAGACTTGAAATTACTTTGTGTTTTTATCTTTACCACCCCTTAGTTATCTCTTATGATTGTTCCCCTCATTTTTAATAATGACCATTTTTGGTTGAAGTGAAGTATTATAAGCCTTCCTTTTCATCTCCTTCTTCAAAACACTAGTTATTGCTATTCAAAATAAGTGTAACCATTTAGGAAAACATTAATCATTATTAGAAAAGACTATATGAGAGAAAAAAAATTATAAAATTGAAATTGTATTTTCTATATTGATGATAAGAAAAGAGTATATAGAGTGTACATTAGGCCTTAAAGCCAACGATGTTGTATCTAAAAAAAAGAAAAAGAAGAAGACAGAAAAAATAGAAAACTAACATCTAGTTTAAGGGAGAGTGTACTAATGTGGAAGAGATTCACCTTTGAGTGGGTATTTGTTGGAAATCCAAGTGTGAGTCTAAGTCCTATATTGAATAGAAATGATGAGAAAGTGGATCATCATATAAAGGTGAAGACTTATTAATCTATTGCCTTAATGTTTTGGGTAGAAAGTAATGTCAATCCCTTATGTTGTTAGGTTGAAATCTCATTGTTGTTGTGTCTTTTTAGTGAACTCCCTTTCTTGATAAACCTAATAATTTTGTTTCCTTAATTCTGAGTTCGTGCTCCTCCAAGTCATTCAATGAAACATTAAACCTTTACAAAAATGAAATACTTTAAGTCCTCACCCATGGTGTTCCTTGAAGATCATTCCATATAACAAATAACGACGGTCTCCTCACAAATCCATCAAAAGATCTCATATCAAAGTGTTTCATGGCCCCAGGATGTTATATTAGGCTATACTTTTAAAGAACTCTTTAACAACCTAAATTGAACATCTTTATTATACCAATAGGAGGAAATTTGATGTCATTGCTTAAAGACCATCATGATGAATTACCACTTCCACTTTAGTATTTTCACATATTCTATAAGCTATATTTTTCAAAGCCCAAGCTGCCTTAAACTAAACGTTAAACACAATTAAGGGAACATACCACACATAAAAACTAAACAAACTGTATAACTACACTAGCTTGAATAACCTCCTCAATGGGTGAGCTATACGCTATAATATGACAAAAACAGAATTTGTCAAAAACCATTCACATTCAGAATTGAAAACAAAAACAAATGACTTAGACCAATCTCTAATCAATTGAAAGCATATTTTGAAGTTGAGTTTTGGCCTCAAACTGCATGTTATTGTCATTAGTCCAAACACATGTAACCATGATTGGTAGGTGTTCCAACTACAACAAGATAGAAAATAAACATTTCAGTAAGCTAACTTGTTTTCGTTTCATACAAATCCAGCATA